AGTTGCAGTTATCCATCTTAAAGGTGTTGGACATTTAGAATACAGAAGTGATCAGTCTGTCCATTCTTAGTCATTAGTTGCAGTTATCCATCTTAAAGGTGTTGGACATTTAGAATACAGAAGTGATCAGTCTGTCTACTCTTAGTCATCAGTTGCAGTTATCCATCTTAAAGGTGTTGGACATTTAGAACATAGAAGTGATCAGTCTGTCCACTCTTAGTCATTAGTTGCAGTTATCCATCTTAAAGGTGTTGGACATTTAGAATACAGAAGTGATCAGTCTGTCTACTCTTAGTCATTAGTTGCAGTTATCTATTTTAAAAGTGTTGGACATTTAGAATGCTTACCTGCATTGTTCATTTAATGTCATTATGTTATCTTTATTTACCTTAGGAATGACCAGGTTATATTTCTGTACTTGTTATGACCTCAGTCTCTTCTGCCCTCCAGAATCACGAGAGCATTAGTATTTGTGTTCAATGTCTGCATTATAAGATTCATATCTCAGTATTTCCATTCTAAGTGTGTATGAAATATTTGTCCAGATTGTATGAAACATGGTGTATAAACAACACACATAACACTGATCCAGTCCTAAATTCATCTTTGTGTGGTCCTCAACACTTGTGAGGGCTCAAGTTGGAAATTCTGATCACCAGAGTACTTAGGCATCTCTATAACAAATTGTAATTTATTTTATATCTGTTTATCCCATTACATCTACTTAGTGCCACCAGGCTTTGTTAGCAGTTGGACAAGGTTTTAACTGGGGTTCTACACTTTAGTCCTCCATCTTCACAGCTAAATATTTACAAATACATTTTGGATAGACTGGGGGCTGAAGTGGGACAAGCAGCTCTATGGCCTTTAGTCTTGCTCAGAGCCCCATTCCTACATCAGTTTTTTAGAGGTGTGGGCCCTGCCTCAGACCTGCATGCTTTTTTGCTTGAGGTTATGAACCAGCTGGTCTTGGTTCATTGCAACCTATATAGATAAGTGAGATTTCACATTAACCATTGTCTGAATAAGATGCTTCGAAGGATGCTCCTTTTGGTCAATAGGTCTTTAGGTGATTGTTTCAGTTGTTTAGTTATATTAACTATACCTCTTTTCTCCATCTTAATATGAAAGATTTCTGCATTTTGTTCCCTAGTTCCAGATGTTTTAACAGATCTTGATTGGTATGTTGTTGTTGTTGTTGTTTTGTTTTTTTTCCTTTGGTTTCTTCTTTATATAGGGTCTCCATATGTTAGGTTCTCCACACATTGTATCATTATTGGCAATTCATCTCTAGTATGCGTTCGACCTATATCACAGAATTTTTATGTGTTAAAAGATGTTAAAAATATTGTAATGACAGATTTTACAGTTCTTAATAATTAATTATAAGAAGTGATCTGATCAGAAAGATTCAGGAATATAAAGATTTATATCTAAATGCTCATAAAAAAAATTAACTTGTGAACATAATTTTTATCCCTCTTTTACTACATTTGCAGTCAAATTAATATCTCTATTGCAACATTACTTTTTTAAATATAGGATCCTAGGCCTAAACCATGGTCAGTTATGTTCTTAGTTAACTAACTTCGCAGGAAGTATTTGAATGCCAGGTATTAAGGTGACGTATCAGACCTTTCAATTTCAAAATAATAGAAAAGAATTCTCATGCAGACACTCAAATCTACAAGTCCACATTAGTTAAGCCTTTATTAAGTATGGCCTTGTTTGATAAAGAGATGAATTACCAATGTAACTTGTGTATATTTTTTACTCTAATTAGGGCTTAATTTTACCATACTTTTTTCCAGTTTTGCTGTCTAGACATTTCATTTTACAATTTCAGTACGTAGACTAATATCAGACTCTTGGTGCTAAGCAACCTAAGATAATATCCATTGTTAAAAGCTCAAATTAGGCAGAAGTTTGATTTTATAAGATTAATAGATAGATTGTATATAAAGATGGTATACACATGTATACATATCTTGCACTTACATACATTTATTTCTTAAATCAGTTCTTGTTTCAGTCTGTTCCTTTTTCACTCCAACTTAACAGGGATTACGTACAATGTACCTGTTTGTAATAACATACTAATGATTGTGTCACATACACCATATGAGAAACTTTCAATCAGCTAAACTAAGATTATCTGTATGTATAATATGTATATATATATATGTGTATGTGTGCAGTATAATGGTCTGATATAAATTTGTTGAATTATAGGATCTACACACCATTTACTGATCAGACAGTGGACACAGGAACCAAAGTTTGGCAGTCTTTTGCGAATGCTTTCATTTTGATGGGTGTGATAGTATGTATGACTATTCTGCTCATCCTTCTCTACAAGTTCCGCTGTTACAAGGTAAGTTGTGTGTTATTTCGTGTTGCCCCTGTCATTTTAGCTGAAACATGAATACATGCTTATAACTAATTAAGTCTGAGACTTAACAGAGTTATTGCAGTCTTTGGAAATCCATAGTGTTGTTATTTTACAAAATTATCAATTAATGCACGTTCTTTTTACAAAAGTGTGTCATTTGAAGACTCCAAACTTTTTTTTTCAGGTCATCCATGGATGGCTAATAATATCTTCACTTATGTTACTGTTCCTGTTTTCTTACATATATTTAGGGTAAGTTCTAAAATGTTTACGTGTAGAATAACCTTAAAAATATCATGCTGTGTTAAACATAGAGTATTGGTATCAGTTATGTACTGATGGTATATCAATGTAAATTAAAAATATTGTTGTATACTTTTGTCAAACTTTTTAATATTAATTTCAGTTGAGTGTTGTATATGTTTTATAAGGAATCAAACCAGACTGTATGTATTTGTGGTAAAACTTCACCTTTAGTGTTCTGGGTAACCTCACATGTAAAACATCTTGAAAAAACAGCACTAAATGTGCCAGGAAATATAAATAACATTGGAAGAAAAAACATGAATCAATTGCTATATGTTGAATTTGTAATTTTCAGTTTTGCAATGCTTCTTTACTCATTTCATCACCAGGATGCATATCAAGTACTCAAATGACTTACCAAGGCTGTCTTCTTTTACAGTCATTTGGCAAAGAGGGAACACACTGGTTAAACTGTAAACAAATAATAGCTAGAGAAACCTTTAAGTTAACATCCAGCTTCAATTCACCAACTTTAACCAATCTAAATTAAGGTTTTAATATGACTAAAAATGGATTATATCATTTTTAAGGCTCTCTTTCTCTCTATCTATCTATATATATATAAATCTGGTTATCAACTTCTCATTTTGCAATTTTAAAATATATAGTAACATTGGTTTAAATTAAAAGCATGCTTTCTTTATCTAGTTATATGTACAAAAAAAAGAGACCATAACAAACAATTATAGTACAGCTATCACACAATAATATTCAATGACAGAGGTCTGAAAGTTTGTATCGTGAACCTGTATTTGATACCATATGTTTCTTACCTTTAAAATCAAAAGTTCACCTATTTACATTCCTAAAAAAAAGTTCATTGTTTTAAGGTGATGAAATGTAAGCCCAGATTTTAACTGTTGCAGTTGAAATTTCCAAAAATAAACTATACTCTCACTTATCGTCAGAGAATAAGATAACATAAAACCATCAATTTGCTAACATATTTATTGTACACTCGTAACATGTATGTTTTTCTCCTCATTTGTTACTGATTGTGATTTACTATCAAGAGATAGTGCTAAGATTAAATAATTAAATAAAATTTGCTTTGTATCAAAGCAGAGGAACTAACCCTATTACGATGGGTCATGTGTCGAAGGCTATGTCATCACGTATGTTCACTTTCATTCAAAATTTTATTGAACTACTATTTTATGAATTTATGTCAATAAGTTTGGTATCAAATTGTAGATTATAATTCAAGTTCTAGTATTATATGTTACTCAATTTCTTAATTTAAAAGTAAATATTAAAAAACACAGCTAAATATCGATTTTTGTGTGTCACGTAGTATGTTGAATGCAGCACTGGTTCAAATTAGATGTGTGTGTGATGTCAAAATACCATTATTGGTAAGCAGGAATGTACTGAATCAGACACACTGGCCCCCTGCCCACCTCTTTCAAATTTTGGAAACTCTTTTTTATGTACACTTACTTCTATATATGACATATGAATAATCAAATGAAAGCTCAGAATGTCCCCCTAGTGGTTTTCTCAGCCATTTTGACATGTTATTTTGTTAATCTTGTTCTTTTCACACAAGATATCAAGGGGATAGGTAAGTCTTTTGAGAGCTCAAAATTTCATATTTTTTTAGACCCAAATACAGCTTAGTTACTACATTTGATAAATTATAGTGGAATTCTATGGTGCCCATATACATGTAGTAATTTAGAATTTTTTCTTTTTTGGTTATTTAAAATGTATATATATATAAAACCTAAAACTATTTTCACATCCTCCATGTGGGAAATTTCATAAGGCTAACTAACCTATGACAAACAGCAAACGAGTACAAAGGTCATAACTAGAAAAGATAATTGTTTGCTTGACTTCTTTATTTACTGTTCTATGTTTTAAGAAAAATAAGTTTAAGGCTTATTTGTAAATAGTATTAATGTATATACATGTACGATGTATAATAATTGAAATGTGACTGTATTTTACAAAATACTAGTTCACGAAAACACAGCCAAGACAGGTCATTTTGTAAATACTAAAGGTCAGTCTTATGTTATTGGATAAAATATCATGAGTGCATATGTGCCACGTCATTGTAACTTCTGTATTGTTAGCCAGACATGGTTGGAAGGTCAATATATTAAAAAAGAATAAATATATATAAATGTATAATGTTATGAGATTCAAGCTATTTAGACTAAACATTTGTGTTATAATCTGTAGTCATTCTAGAACAAAAAAAGAATAATTTAAATTTATTTCCTAATTTTTTTATGATGGTTACGAGACCGGTCAAATTGACAGACCCCATAGAGTTAGGGTAGAGAAATATAACAGAAAAAATATAATGTTTTACTGAAAACCTAATGTTTGAAATGTATTGAGGAGGTTTTAGAGATTACACAAATAATATTTAAGATTTGAGGGATGAACAATAGTTTTTCAGTTACAACATGAAAATCACTTCGCACTTGACATTTGTAATTCAGTGACATTTTTTTCCTACTATACCACATATATCAGTCAAATGTTAGCTTGTAAATTTGTGAATAAATAATTTTAACCATCAGTGTTGTAATCACCTTAGAGGTAATATTTCTGTCTTTTCACACTTTTTTTTTGTTAAAACTCATGTTCAAGATTATTGTTGTAGTTTTTTACCTGCAATTGTAAAATTTAATATTGACAAATTGTCATGGTGATATTGAAGCCTATGTTTCAGAGTTTTCTTTTCTTTTTTCTCTGTGTTTTTCTTAAAGACTAATTTGTCTTTTACACTTCATTTATGTCATTGAAAAGCCCTTAAAAATTTTTTTTGGCATAAATAATTGTTTCTTAAAAAAACTTTTTTCGACTTCTAGTAAAAATAAAATTAATGATAATTAATTGGTAAATAATAATTTATAAGCATATTGAAGTGGGTTAATTTAGGGGGAATATACTACATGTTTTGACAGAAAATTGGTCTGTCTTCTTTTGAAGAAGAAAGACAAAAATTATGTAGAAACATTTACAATGTTCCCCCAAACCACCTCATTATGTTTATAAATCGTTGTTTGTCAGTTTTTTATTATATTAGCATGACATGCTTACTTACTCAAATACAATAATATTGGTAGGGAGTTGAAAATTTATTCTTGATGTACTTGTAAGAGAATGACGAGTGAATTAAATTTAACACGTAATATCACAAAATTGACTCGAATGTTACCTATAAAAAATATAACTTTCAAGTGTTGTGTCATAAAATTCTTAAGTTGATAAGCATGATCCGATAATAGGTAATATATGGTGTTTTATGTATGACGTGTATTCAGACATTGAGTTAGCCTTATATTAACAAGTCAACTGAAGATTTGTTTCAGTGATTCCTGGCCAGAAAGATTCCGAATCAAATTAAAAGCATAATATAGTGATTTTCTGATGTTAGAAAATTAACTGTAGTATCAGTATTTTGATAGTAGTGTCCACCAAAATATGTTTAAACAATAGGTTTTGGTAGTTAACTTGTAAGGAAAATTATTTTGCATACTACACTACCTTGGTAATCTTTGTTTATACAGTTTTAATAAATTTGAAATTTGTAGGTTAAAGAAAACTTGAATACCATATATTCTGAGTTTCTAAATTAAGCTTACTCTGCAGAAACTTGAAAATCAAATTTTTGTATACTTTTTATTTGATCTTATAATTTAAAGATTTATTTCTATTATAATCAGAACTACCATTTAATGTAAACAACTCTTGCTCAGGATGTATAGTTTGTTTGCTAGCCCACTGAAAACTGTTAGGTTTTACATTTTGTCTAGCATAAGTAATAAGATTGATTTAGTATTTAGGAAACATGCTTGTTTTTATACAATAACAAAAAAATTTGCAAGAGCATTTGTACTGCGATGTTATCTTGATACCAAACTTTTCATTTCAAGATTGATGGAACGTGTGGGAGTGACTTCAACAGATATAGAGAGATTTTGTTGTGTAATTTGCTGTTGGTAACTGAAGTTAAAGAGCAGCAACATGTAATGTAATTAGTGAACCTCCCAGTTTTCTCCATTCTTGTGTAAATTTACCAGTCTTGTTTCTTTTAAGAATTATAATCATTACCTTTGTGGTCCATTTTATCTTATGCTATTACTTACTAGTGTGTTTATTGAACTAATTATAATCATTACCTTTACGGTCCATTTAAGTAATAGCATAAGATATGTAAGTAATAGCATAAGATATAATGGACCGTAAAGGTAATGATTATAATTAGTTCAATAAACACACTAGTAAGTAATAGCATAAGATATAATGGACCGTAAAGGTAATGATTATAATTAGTTCAATAAACACACTAGAAGTGTGTTTATTGAGCTAATTAAAATCATTACCTTTGTGGTCCATTATATCTTATGCTATTACTTGCTAGTGTTATTATTGAAAGAATTAAAATCATTACCTTTGTGGTCCATTATATCTTATGCTATTACTTGCTAGTATATATGTTGAGCAGGTGTGCCCTTCATCAGAATTATACATGTGGCTGTATAAACCTACTCTTGTTTTAAAAAGTTTTAAATTCTATTTCATCTCTGTATGAATAATGTTTGTTAAAGAGAGGTTTTAAATTTTTTTTGTTACATATATGTGCATGTAGCTTATTGAGAAGAATATGACCTTTGTGCTGGTGTCATATTACTCTCATCTTAGCCTGCTGTCTGTACTTAAGCCATCTTACCTCATCATACACATACTTAATACAGTTTCTGTAAATTGCTATAATAATTCTTTCTCTTTGTTTGAATGGGCCCTGTAACTTTGTAATATGTACCGAGATAGTTTTGTGTTTGACAGTTTTCTTCCATACATAATCACGGCTCCGGTAACAGTAGAAGAACTTGTTTATATCTAGATTTGATTGGTTGTGTTAATTTAACTTTAATTTCGTGGTTAACCCGACCAACACTGATTCACATTAACCACTAATGTAACCTTTTAACTCCTTGTAATGTTCACCCTCGCTACAAATTTATATATATATAATGGATTGATTACTTTATGTTGCATGTATATTCAGCACTGTGTGTTGTATATCTTCTAACCTTCAATGTTAAATAAAACACCTTTCTGGATGAGATACATCTGCAATAGAATTTTCAGCTGTATTTCCTTGTAGATAGTGAAAAGCTCCCATTTTTGACATTGAAATTTAGATATATACCTGAAGGGACAGGATTCCCCTATTGTCCTCGTCTGGTTATGGAACTGATTAGTAGGTTCTTTAACTGAATGAGAAGAATGTATACCCGATATCAGATTCTTATTCTGTGCAGTAGTTTTGAGAAAGTGAATTTGATATAATTATCCATGTGTGGATATTCTTCAATTTATTATGACATTGTTTAGTAATATTAAAATCTGAAGAATTGCTACATATAAATATTTAATTTTTTTTTTTAACAGTGAAGTCTTAAGAGCGTATAACATTCCGATGGATTATATCACTGTGGCTGTCATTATGTGGAACTTTGGAGTTGTGGGAATGATATGTATACACTGGAAGGGGCCCTTGTTGCTCCAGCAGGCCTATCTTATCTTGATATCAGCTTTAATGGCTTTGGTATTTATCAAGTACCTGCCAGATTGGACAACCTGGGTAGTTCTAGGAGTCATTTCTGTCTGGGGTATGTTGTAGTTATGTGTATGCTGGCTCAGATTAACTTGTAATGTTTGTGTGTGAATATATATATTATTTTTGTTGTTGTTGTTAGATAAATGGTAGTGAACCTAAATTTGAAATATTTTTTTCTTGTTTAATTGCTTGCCTTAATAAACAGTTTGCACACATTACTTTGTTATGCTGTTTTTATGAAAAGGTTCAAAAGGTTATTGACTAACTACTCTTTAAAAATACCAGATAATATATTTATATATTAATAGAGAGAAGTGGAAAGATTGACTCAGAACAAAATATGACTTGTTCTAACAGTGAAGTGACTCTTCAGTCTGATGTCCATTGATTTAGAAGTATTATCTGATGTTTCTTTTTTTGGGGGGGGGGGTCACACAGTATGTGATACTTAGTAGTATGTCACAAAATAACATGTTCTGTTTATGAACAAAGTGACTAACC